GAGCTCTTTTAATAATAAAATATTAAAGTAATGGAACAGTGGTGCTTCATGTTAAGAAGCGATTAGAGTATGGGCCATAAATTTTATAATTATTATAGTCCGAATTTCCTCTGCAGATTTATAATTTTTCCCAATTTTTTCTTGAATATTACAAAAATCTGAGTGATAAAAACTCTTAGATTACTCTTGTTGCCCCAATTTTTACGGTATAAATATTATGTGGGGTCAATGATCAAATTATTGAGATTTGTTGTCTGGAATGGTTTTGATTCATATTTTTGAATTTCTTTATTTCCTGGCATTCAAATATTTGAAATAATTTATGAGCTGTAACACATATAATATTTACAAAATGATATCTTGATTTACATTTAATCTTTACATTTAGATCAATAAAGTAAAACTCGGTTATAGCGAAGTCCTGGGGACCTGTGAATTTAATTCGCTATATCCGTAATTCGTTATATCCGTATAAGAAATTAGTATTACCATTATAGCGAATTCGCAATACGCATGATTACCTTCAGGTATTACTACCAAATATGTTAGGGAAGCAAAAATTACGAATCATATCTTCGATAACTAATATTTTATCATGAATTGCATATTATATATACAAATGCTAAACGGAAGTAAAGTCAGTTCAATTTATCAAACTTTTTACAATCTTTGAAAGTTCGTTATAAAAGATGTAAATTTCATTATATTTAACCCAAGAGGACTCAAAATCAGTTCGCTATATCCGTAAATTCGTTATATCGGAGTTCGTTATAACCCTAAAATTTTACAAAGATTTGTTAGGAATTTTCCCGGGGACCTACAAAAACTTCGCTATATCCGTGAAATCGCAATATCCGTGTTCGAAAGAAACGAGTTTTGGGAAAGATACAAAATTTTGAAAAAAATGAAAATTTGAAAATTTAGTCCTAATTTCCTCTGCATAACCATACATTAATTTTTGTTCCTGCATATTTACTTCAAAAAAAAAAAAATGAAATGTTTAATTGATACTGAGTTAAAGCTTGGTTATTTTATACATTTAGAACACTTTTGGTGAAACATTTTATACTTTAGAAATTTTCAGGTCTGTTTTCTGAAACCCGAGTAAACGTCATCCTTAACGATTTTTATTTCATAACTTTCAAATGAACAGTTCTTAATTAATCTTGCTTGACCAGTACATTTATCAAAAATTAACTCATTTCATTATTTGTGTTCCTCCAATGCTGTGATACTTGAATCGCTGAAAGTATGAATAAATCAATGTTAACCATATCTCTGTTAAAATTATCCTTCTGTGATAAGATTTTTTTAGTTGTTAACATTTTATCACATTTGTCGCTTATGCTGCAAACTCATTTGCAAACTTAGAATTAGTCTTTTCAGAAAGAGTTACTTAGATAACTAACTTTAAAACAAAGTGTGTAAACACTAAAAATGCCTGTGTTCACCAGGTGCAAATAATGTTAAGTCATTTAAGATAAATTATAAAAAAAAAAAACAAAAACAAAAAAACAACATTCTCTGACTTTTTCCACAATCTAGATGCATAATCCTACTTTTTAAATCATATTTAAAAGTACTTGTATTGAGTTTTAAAAAAGCCTACTGTTGATACTTTCATATAGAAATATGTGTAGAATAGTGGTTTGAAACATAGCAAACACATGTTTAAATTTCCTAAAGATTCGAATAAATTAAAGAACAAAATGTGTGGATTTTTAAAATTTCTACTACAATTATCATTGTTTTGATATCGCTGATTGAGAGATACGGATCACCACCATACATTTGAAATACAAACGTGCGGAATCCCATTTTTTTTCTTTTCTTTTCTAAATTCCTGATCTTTTTGGAAAATTTTCCAAATGTGTCTTATAAATGTTCATTTAATATGTATTAAGATTTTACTAACATAAGTGTAGTCATTTTTTTCAATACAATTCTTGTAAAAAGAGATGTAAAAATTACGCCTCCTGTAATGACGGAGCTTGGCATTTTTGTCAATTTTGGTATAATGCTCGAGAAATGGCCAATTTAAATTCAAAATCTGCATGTTAAAAATGTAGTTAACTAGAATATATCTGACATTTGTCTACAAATTGCAAATTGGAATTTTAGACAGTTAGACTTCTCTAAATGCTTTTACGTAAGGGGATGGGAAGAAAGGCATCGACAAAAACTTCAACTGGACTGTGAGAGTGGCCAACGTCACACTGTATCTCACAAGTTTGCCATTTTAGGATTTAAAACAAAATATAACATGATAAACGTGCTTTATAGATAGTGTAGAATAGATTCAAGATTTCTTAGATCATGACGCCCAGTGGAAGAGTGGGGCCACAAAGGCCGATCAGAGATTTACATAAAAATATTATAGGAAATTTTCTTTTAGAAAATCTTCTCAAAACAGCAAAGCCATGATTAGTTATATTTATATGAAATCATCTTCGGGTAGTGTAAATTCAAGTTTGTTCAAACCTTGACATTCAGAGGAAGGTTGGGCAATATTGCCGATCAAAGATTTACATAGAAATATATTTTAAAAAAAATCTTTAAAAATCTTCTCGAGAACAGAAAAGCCATGATAAGTAATATTATATGGAATCGTCCTTGTGCAGTGAAGGTTAAAGTTTGTTCAAATCATAACACCCAAGGACACGGCAGGGCCGAAATGGCTGATCAAGGTTTTATATTGAAATGTAACAGAAAATTCTTTAAAAATCTTCTCAAGAACAGCACAGCCATGATTGATAATATCTCCATGAATGTATTCTCGGGTAGTGAAGATTCAAGTTTGTTCAAATCATGAACCCTGATGGAGTTTATTATCGTCTATAATGTCTGAAAATTTGTGCAAAATCCATTGAGAAATAAGTGAGCAATGAGGCTTCAAAGTTGGCGTCTAGAAAGAAAAAAAAAACAAAAATAAGAATAATCTTAATCATCAGAATCAGTAGATGGTCTTCCGTTGGAAACGGAAGACCTTAATTATATTAAAAACTCTTCTTCTTAGGAACAGCAAAGCCATTAATTAGTTATATTTAAATGGTAGCATTATTAGGTAATGTAGATTTAAGTTTGTCAAGTCATGACCCGGGGGTAGGACGAGGCCACAATGGCCGATTGAAGTTATATATATATATATATATATATTAGGGATGGCAATCGATTACAGAATTGCCAATCGGTTAATCGCTAAACGTTCCGACCGATTAACCGGTTAGTCGTATCAAAAATACATATTTATTTGATAATTTTATTTGTTTTTTTTTAATCTTCTAAAAACTCTGTTTCGGAGACAGAAAGAAATTATTTTTTAAAAAGTGATAAACTGTTAATATTTAATCAGAATAATTCGTGAATTTATTTTTTACAAGACGAAAAAGGATAAAGAAATCACAAAAAACATGCTTTACGTAGTTCATTCAATTAAAAGTCAATCTACAATCGTGATACACTCTTCATTGTTGTCGATGTCATTTGTATTTGAAATGAGTTGCCGATTTTTGTTTAAGAAAATTATTTGATCGACAACAGCTGATGACAGACGACTCCTAAGTTGTTGGTTATAATTCCGGATGTAGAAACTATTCTTTCCGAGGGCACGGATGTTCCTGGAATTGATAAATATTTTTTTGCCAAGTCGGCGAGTTTAGGGTATTGTGTCTCATGTTCAGCCCATCATTTCAAAGGATCAACGCTTTTTGTTTCTTTCTCGTTCATTAACTGCGATAATTCACTTTCTGGTGCGCAAGCATATTTGATGTCCCCCCAGTGTAAGTTAATTCCGTCGAACAAATTTGACTATTTACAGTTTTTCCATCTAGCTCTCTCTTAAAATATTTCCAAGCATGCTATGTCGTTGGGGGTGGCATTTTCAATGACAAAAGGTAGTTAGTACATGTAGTTACACATTAAAAGTTGTTACACACAAACTTAAACAGTATTCAGTAGTGAATTAATATCATTCAAGCATAACTAGAGAGACACCAGTTATGTTCATGTCGGAAAGAGGTCGGTGTTTTAACAGTAATTAGCACTTCTCAAACCGTCCAAAACCCTGACGTCAATTATAGGGTTGACTGTAATTTTCTCCAAATTTTTATAATTGGACAACTTTGACACCGTTTAATAACAGTTCGAGATTAGGAATGAAAATTTACAACTTGAGAAATTTTGCTAAAAATACGCATATTTTAATTTTTTTTATCCGACTAACCGATTACAGAATTTGCAATCGATTACCATCGTTCCGACCGATTAATCGATTAACCGGTTAGAAACTGACATCCCTAATATATATATATATACAAACAAAGTTTTAAATAGAAATATAGAGGAAAGCATTTTTTAAAAATATTATTCTTAAGAAAAGCAAAGTCATGATTGGTCATATTATATAGAAGCATCCGAAGGTAGTGTAGATTCAAGTTAGTTCAAATCATGCCCCCTTGAGGATAGGTTGGAACCACAAATCCAAGTTTGTACGAGGGCTGTTCGAAAATTATTTAGACATTGTGTATATTTTGCTTTCTTATGAACGTTTTTCGGTAAAAATTGGCAGATACGTTTGACATACACAAAGAATTAATAAAAGCAAAAAATATTTTACAAATATTAAAAATCTTATGTAGAATGGTATATAAATGCGTCAATAGTAGGGGTACCCGGAGCAGTCACAAAATCAGATATTTAAAATATGTAACTCCAACCTTCTATCTCTTCATGGACCTTTTATGAGAGTGAAAATAATTCAATTGATGTGTATATTTTTTCCGCTTTATTTCAGATTCATGTTGTGCAACTTTGTTAGAATTTTGTTCAGAAATACGGAGACCATAAAAAATTAAGCGCGGTACAGAAATCTTCTAAGATCAAATGTAAAAGGAAATACAGACACATGCAGTCAAAGAAATATACAATTATCCTTAGTTTGTTAACATTCAAGTTTGTTCAAATCATACCCTCTCACTTTACATTTTAGGTGATTGTGGCAAAGATGAGAAAGAAATTGATTCAATACCTCACTGACAAATGGAATGTTCTGGATTGGTTGTGCATAGTTTTATATCTGTGTGGTATGATTGTCAAACTTGGGGAAACCGATGATTATTTGAACGCTTCTAAGGTTTTATTGGTTGCCACGTACATCTTGTTTTGCGTAAGGATACTTCACATGTTTTGTGTTTCGGAATTGCTTGGTCCTAAACTTGTTATGATCCAGAAAATGGTATGTATGAATGATTCGTTTTCTCTTATTAACAGTAATAAAAACAATAAACATTTAAGGAAAGAAAATCACAATATTCAATTTTCACGCTTATATTTTAAATACATAAAGACGTGTTTTTGTCTTCCACTTTCAGTGGTGCATCTTTATTTGGGTCCGTCCGTCAATCCGTCATTCCATCAGTCCGTCTGTTTTTCTTTCAGTATATTAAAACATCGTTCCCGATCGATATTTCGAGAGACCTTTGAACTTTTGAAAGGAAATTCTTCCTGAGAACACCATTTGGCCTGTCAAAGAGGAAAGGACTATCATTCGGAACTCAAAAAGTCAAAGGTCTCACAGCTGTATCAAAAATACATAAATAGCACATTCGATATCTTCAGACGTGTTTTGCTTATGCAATAAATTTTTATTGCACAACTCCCTAATGTATTCATTTTTGGGCAAAAATCAATGGTCAAGATCGAAAATCCATACATTCTGTTTTGGTGTAAATCCATTTCCAAGCAATTCCCCGAAAGACATTTTTTACTTATATAAGAATGTTTATCCCATAACTTCATATGACCTCCTCCAACCCTCTTAAAGCGTCCCTCTCATCCAAATCCTGAACTCGATCCTCTAGACCAGTGCATGGTCTGCAGATTCCCTTAAGCGGGAAAAACACATTGTCCGACTAAGATTGTTCTCATCAACTGTTTTTTTTTTAGTTTCTAGACACATCTGCCTTTATGACAATCATGTTTGTGATTTTGATGTGCTTCGACGTATCATACTATTCTATACTCTATGCCGAGAAATCTGATTTCACTTTTGATGAATTGGAAAGAATTGCAAGAAACGGATATTGGATGCTCTTCGGGGAACTTAATTTGGATCGCGATAAATGTATGCAATTTTTTGGCATTTTTTCCTGTGTATATCCAAACATATAAACTTCATCCTTTCTATTAGATCCTTCAAACATGCCTCGGGATTAATTTGACTCCCGTTATTTATTGGGAAATATGTACAAATCACAAGGTTTTGATTTTTGTTTCTAAATGTTACCATTTAATAAAATACGTCATAGAATAGCAGTAATACCCTTTAGTTTTCTGAAGGGACATCACTAAATAGTCGACTAATCGACTACCAGTCGAAAAAAAAAAACGATGATAAACTAATGATAGACATTCAAAATCAAATAAATGAAAAAAAGAAGCGATAAGAGAAAGGATTCTCATCTCTAATTTGCAAAACGTCCTCCGTCAACCATTTAGTACACATGTGAACAAATAGAGCTCAAACACATGCAGTAGCAGTATATAAATAATTTTTCATAACAAAATCTATTTATTTTTAATGTTACTAATAATAGTAATTACATGTACAAATATTTTTACTGCGATAGCTTTTATCAATTACTGACAATTTTGTTATTTTTTTATAAGTAAACAGAGTGTGCAACTCTACAATATATTGAACTTTGTAAAATTACTAAATTGAACTTGATCACAGACCAAATAACATTATACATTTATAACCTGGCAAATGTAAAGATACATATAGTGTGTATTTACCCTCCCCCCTTCCTCGGGTTATTTAAATATAAATTTTAAAATCACCGTGCTCAAAATTTTCTTCACTTTCTATAAAAAAAACAAATTGTATTTAAACCAATTAATAAATGAGATTTTCGGGAAATCATCCTTTTTTGTAGGGAATTCCGGGAAAATCTATTTCATTTCAACATTATATCCCTTCATTTGGTGTCTCTGAATATCTGTAATATAGGAATTTCATATAAATTTTGACGTGAAAAGGTGTTTGATCTATTCTACGCTACTGCATATAATATTAAACAGTAAAATTTTATTTTCAGAAAATGCTATGAATGATGAATAAATGTTTTGACATATTTAGTTTTCTATAATTTTTTTTATAATTAAAAGTGAAATGAAATTGAAAATATATTAAAAGTATTTTTAAAATATGAAATCGAAAAATTCAACATTTTTCATAGTGTTTAGAAAGATAGAAGGGTAAATAATATACAATTAATGAGTTTTGATGAGGTCTACTCGTGAATATACCGACCTGGTCAGGTTAATGTATTGATTTACTGATGCCAAAAACCGAGGTTAACCAATACCTGACCGGGTCCGTATAGTCACGAGTAGACCGAGTTCAAAAGTCAATAACCGTTTCAATAAATGATAGGGAATTTTACAACACTAATGACACTTTCAATCTTGTGTCCATGAATTATAAACACTCATGATATTATGCAAAATGCAACAACACTTTTTACATATTGGTATACATGTACTTCAACAGCTTAAGGTAGGATTCTTCTCACATTTCTTGTGTTTAAAAATTAATGAAATTTTCACAGAATCAAGAGGGCAATATCACTTAGTGATGGTATCAGTAAGATTAAATTTCACCGTTCAATATTAGAGGCAAGGTCAGGCCAAGGTCATTACATTTTACACTCACATTAAGAATAAATAATTACTGTTTCCAATCATGCAATCATTGTATTTCAAAAGAATGAATTTTTTTCTTTTTGCACAAAAAGATACTACCATGTTAAAACTATAAGATGAATTTACGAAATTGACATAAATAATTTAACAAAAATGGATATAAGCTAATCCGAATTTTATCTTCTTTTCTAAAATTTTTGGGACATTTTATTTATTTTAATATGCTATATATATTTAAGTTTTCCTCATTTTCACACAAAGTAAAGCTGTCGCAAAAAGATACAAAATGACACAAAAACAAAAAAATATTTGATTGTTTAGTAAGAGAGAAATTACAATTTTTTTTTGGAATTTTTGGCTCAAATCTGTACCTGAATTTGAAGCATTTATAAGCCAACACAGTTCTAGTTAGTTTAAAAAATCTTATTTATTTGATATATTTTGAAACTATAGTGACTGTCCCTTATAACTATTTAATTTACATTTGAAAATTTCTTCAATCTTTGATTGCGTAAAAATTATAACTTTATTCATAATTCTAAAATATTTTTGCGACGCAGAAAAGAAGATATTTTCATACGCCACCATTTCGCCAAAAATATAGCCACTGCTAGCTTTCAAACGCAGTTAACCATTTCTACATAAGGTTGCACAATTGTGACGAGGAAAGAAAAAAATGATCTTTTAAATCTCTTACATATGCATATAAAAGACATATAAGCAAATATACTTTGAATATTTCATTTAGTCAAAAACTAGAGAAGAATCCTGCCTTAACAACTAGTAATTAACATGGAAAACAATATTATCAAAACAATATAATCCAACAATAAATACTCAACCATTTTCATTCAAAAGTGTTTATTCTGCTTGATACGGGCGTCTGACATGTTTACATTCACACCTGCACATGCTTTGAAACATGCAATCGGATTGGACAAAAAATCTGTAAGCAAATTTATGGTTGGTCAAGAAGGAATAAACCTCATATGAGGTGAATTCATTCTGAGGTACATCTCAGAAAAAGCATCCAGACCAATCAGGGAGCACCTAAATTCCAGACTATTTAATAACGTCTTACGTTTCATTCATTTTCCAGTGAGAGAACCCGAATGCACATTTAATCACAGCATATACACCAGTGGAAATATGGAACGTTGTCCATCTGCACTTGGAATATTTTTGGCCCCCTACCTGAAAGCTGTTTATGTGTTGATTACTGTCATTCTGCTTCTAAATTTGTTGATTGCCATGTACAGGTATTTTATTTAAAATATGTTATCAGAGGCTCACAATAACTAGATATCTGATGTTACTTCATTTCGAAAATTAATTAGATATTTAAATGATTTGTTAAAGTAACATGGATTTCAATTTTTTTTCTCTTCTATAAATATTTGAGGTGTAAGGTAATTTTTTTGTTTCAGTAATACCTTTTCTAAGGTTCATACAAAATCTACATTGTATTGGTCACAACTTCAAACAAATTTTTTGGATGAGTTTGGCGTGAAATCCATATTCCCTGTCCATATGTGCTTGCTATCCCTTGTGGTCTGTTCAGTCTATGCATTAGCATGGATTAAAAAATTATTGGTCCATAATGGCATGCTCAAATGCTTTAAATCACCATGTGTTGGAACTGGACAAAAATCTGGGAATAAGAAAGAAGAGCACCCTCTATTTGTTCAAGGTTTGTTATCAATGATTACTCACAGCATTTTATTTTTTTTTTACTTTTACACGGTCTTGAATGATATTATATCATTTTGCAAGGTAAAGAAGCTTTAAGTAAAAATATCTTCACAGGAGATACAGTCCATTTTTTTCACGTAAAAAAATAAAGGATTTCTCTAAAGAAAATATATAAATATAAATACATCCGTAACGAGGTCCAATCTACACGTAGTTGGAAATTACGAAAACTGAAAGAAAATTAATATTTGCATGTATTATGCTACGAAAATTTTAAATAAAATTTTGTAACCTTGCCTTTATTGTAATCAAATGAGAACACTTTCAAGATATTTACCATTTTGTGTGTTTTCATACACGATTACATACTTCAACTGCCCAAAAAACAAATGAATTGACAATTTAAAAAAAAATAAACGGGATGATGAATTCTTTTTACATATATCATGAAATTTTCATTCCTGTTTTTTTTAATGAAATAGAATTTGAGTTAGTCTTATTTCAGTGAAAGGGGGGCATATCAAAACACAAAAATAGGACTAGATATTTTATAGGTCGCAACAGGTTTATAACATTAACAAAAGATTGTAATACTGTGATAGTCTCTAATAGTTAAATAATTCTTACATTATGAAACAATCTTTTCTACATTGGGAGGTGGTAAAAGATGCCAAAATAACAATTTCTAATATTATCATATAATATGTAAAAAATAAATTATTTCGGGGGCTGCATTTAAAATGATTAACACTTATTTCTTAAAAACTCAAGCTAATCCATGCACATCTAAGTCTCAATAAAAAAGGGGCGTGTTTAAATACTTCAAAATGTTCAAGGAGAATGACTAATGCCCAGTCCACACAAAGAGTTTAATTAAAATTAAACGTAAGTAACTGCGAATTAGCTACAGTTGGCGTTCATACGGAGGATTTAATGCGAATTTGTTTAGTTCGAATTAATTCACTGCCCATTAAATTACTTCGCCTTAACTTCGTGTGAACGCAATCGCATATTCTCGGGTCTTTCCGTCAGAGGTCGGCAAAAACAACCTCAAATGTATTTAACATCACCGAATGTTAAAAATTTATACATCTTCCTGTTTAGTCAAATATAGGATAGACGGAGATAGAAGTTCCATCTATGGTATATTTTAGGTAATATCATTACATTGAATAAAGTTTAACTCCATATTCCACAGATGAAAGGTCTCTATGCATTTATTTCAAAGATCGTGAAAAGGGGGAGTTGTAATGGCGTCTTCTTAGTACATTCAAGGTAGTTTTTCCGCTAGTCGGAAAGGCCCGAGAAGTTGCGATTGCGTGTGAACGCTTAGCGAAGCTTATTCGAATTAAATTTTGACGCATGCGTTAGGCCACAATTAAGTCACTGGACACATGTTGGTGTTGAGATAAAGGTATCTGTGCTATAAAGATTGAGAATCTTAAAACTTTGTTAAAGGATAATGACAGTTTACTTACTGTATAGAGTTGATGAATGATTCTTTCTCTGATGCAAAAAAAAAAAGTGAAGAAATGTTTCGAATTTTGCACCTTTTATACTGAATTTTGCCTTCATATTGAAGGAGTGGTCCTACGAAAAACCCGCGTTTTTAAACCATGTTTGGTACAATATTTTGCTAATTCTAAATTTAGCAATACTTTACACTGTTTCAGGTGACCTTGATAGTATATATTAATAGTATCATTCTTCAACTGTTGCTATGTGAGCTAAGGTGACTTTATTGACTGTAGACTCCTTGACTGAAGACTCACTCTTTGCACTAAGATAACCCATGACGTCATTGACTGTAGACTCACTCTTTGCATTAAGGTAACTCATAACGTCATTGACTGTAGGCTTCAAGAGAATCACAACATTTTTAAACAGGATGTGTACCCTTGAAAAACCGTCGTTACCAAGCAAAAATGATTACAATGTTCAAAATTAATAATTGTGATGATGTATCGGTATATAATTATACGATACATAGTCCAAAAAAAAAAACGCGAACGCACATCATGATAAAATAAACAAAATAAAGATTAATTAACTATCCCAAGAGGCAAATTAGAACTTTTTAACAAATAATTTATTCCTGGTGCTGTTAAATGGAATTTATTAACAGATACAAGATATACAAGAGAACCAACTCAGTAAATTCTTTTCGAAAGAATATAAGTGATAATAATCTAAAAGCGCCCTTTACTTTTTATTTGGTAAATGAATTACTAATATTATTCGTACGAAATTAAGGCACAGCTGTGTATTGAACCAAGACTTTTTCAAACGCAATATCATTGATAACTTTTTTTCTCTTGTGGTAAACGAGAGGATGCCTATCATTTCTTTTTTGTTTGTAAAAAATATCTTAATGCTCGAAGTAATCTTTTCGATCATCTTTTTCGACTTGATTTAGACATCATAGATGTACACCTACTGCTTTTGGACAACGAAAATCTTTCATTTGAATTAAACATCTGCATTTTTGCCGCTGTTCATCAATTCATAAATGAATCTTGAAGATTTAGCTAGATGTATTATTGACTTTTATTTTTATACGTTTTTGTTATTATTTTGCATGACAATTATGTTTTTTAAGGAGAAGAACAAGTAAGTTGTAACAACTTTTTTCTTATCCTTTTATTTACCAATAAAATATGTTCAAAACAAAACAAAATGTTTTCATCAGACATCTTTATCAAGTTTATCGATCATTGAAGAATTAAGACAACAAAAATTAGGAGCAAAATAAGAATGAAGCTTGCTACTAACTACATATTTTATAATGTCCTTAATCATACCTCTAATAAATTGTGTTCATAGAAGAAATAAAAACTCAACTGTTTAAATAGAATACTATTACATTACATCATAGGAGAAAATGTAAAATAATGCGTTAATTCAGTCTAAATACATTAGAGTGTAATGAAAAATAAACATCATCATTAAACGAGAAACCCAAGGGTTATATATGCAATATCAGCACTAGGGTATTTTCTTCCAATCTGTTACACCTGACTCCTTTATTATCAAACGGGTCGGCATAAAAAAGCATTGCTAGTATTTGAAGTAAGATGTCAGTTGCCTTGTTTAATTATGTTCTATTTTACAGTTTTCCTATACAACAGCAGGTACGACTTAAAAATGTCAGGAACAATAGAAAATGAAAACCGAGCAGCACTAATGACAAAAGGGTAAGATATTATTTATACAAATTGATGACAAAAGACAAAGAACTTGCAAAATTTCAATTCACTTTCTTTATTCGACCAAAGTATGATCCGACCTCAACGTGACCTAATCAATTAAAGGAATTGATGTATACGTACAAAGCCTAAAAAAATTATGGAACGCCAAATTAACATATATTCAAATATTTGTACAATTCTTCAAATCTTTAATTCATTTGAAGATAGGTACAATCGATTTGAAGATAGGTACAAATGCAATTAATTGAAGATAGGTAAGATAGGTACAATTGAATTGAATCTTTCTTTAATTACTTAGATATTGGCAAAAACAACTTCTCCCTTTATCATACGTCATTTCCGATACATCACAGCTGGCCCGAAAGTTTATCGGAATCTTCATCTGGCTGCAATAACAAGATATACAGTACCTACATGAAATACATGTGTATTTTTATATAAGTATATGATGTTTTTCGCACATTTTGAATTAACCTTTTTTTCTCCCTTCATGATTGTTGTCGTCCCACTAGATCTGTAGGTTCTTTGCGTTTCCTTCCATACTCAATATTGTCTCCAGGGAAGTGTTCATTATTTAAGAACAATATGAAACGAATTGAACCTAGGTATAATTGAATATCACCTATCTTCAAATCCTTTGTGAATATGTCTTGATTGAAGCTACGCAGCAATGTTAAGGCTTGAAAAAGGGGACGGGGCCTAGTTTTATACGGGAAAAGTTTACTTTGACGTCACACAAAAATATGACTTTCATGTATTTCTCATAATACCTGAAACGAAATAATTTGCAACTTCTAACTGTATAAGCATACTAAACAACAATATAACTTATCAATGTATTAAAAATAGTTGCTATTTAAATCCCATGTAGTTGGTTATAAGCAAAGCACTGATCGCGATGAACTTGTAAACATGACGTCATATTGGTGAAAATGACGTATTTCATGTGCTGTGAGAGGCAGATTGAGGAATTTTTTTTAAAACAATGAAAAATGCATTTTATTATTAAACGGAATATTTTTTACAGGTTTTAAATAGTCGATTAATACAAATGTATATCCTTTGTTTGGTGCGATAATTACTACCAAGAAAATGTATTTTAATAATTATGTCGTGTTTTTATGTACAGGTTACGTATATTTTACATAGAGATGTCTCATAAAATCATACTTTCGCAAGGGCATACACTACATAGATCTGAACCGTTTTTTGAATATAGATAAAGAATATTTTCCTTAACTTGAAAAGTGCTGCTGCTTTCATTAAATCTAGGGCGTGATTTTATAAGTACACAAAATATTTGGTATAAGTCACACATATTTCGACATTGGCCTGTTTACTAGAAAATTTAACTATTAAAACGCAAATTCTATTCAAAGCAACAGCACTTTTCAGAAACTACAAAGTATGCAGAAACAATAAATAGCTTGAATTTTAAATTTCACCTTGGGTATGCCCTTGCAATATTGAAATTTGTTAATGACCTACATTCGGTACACGAACTATGCATTCATCACGTGACTATCCATCTATGGGACTACACTTCATACAGTACAGAGTGGGATATCCTATGCTATTTCCATAGGTATTCAAGTTCTGTGATAATAAAACATCTAAATTAAAATAAATTCAATTAAAAAAAAATCCCCCATATTTCCGCGGCTATTTTCCGTTGATTTCTCATAGTAGGCCTTAACAGTGCTGCGTAGTACAGCTGTATATTCAAATCAATTTTACCTATCTTAAAATTAATTATACCTACCTTCAAATGAATAACAGACAGGTATAAAGCAAATGAACCTATCTTTGTAATTCCATTAAAGATAGGTATAATTCATTTCTACCTAGGTATAATTATTTAGAGATAGGTATAATTATTCATACATATCTTTAATTCAATTGTACATATCTTTAATACAATTGTACCCATCTTTAATTAAAATGTACCTATCTTCAATTCATTTAAAGATAGGTACAGATATTTGAAGATAGGTAAAAATATTTGAATATATATTAATTTTAATACCATAACATCAACTGAGACAGGTATCATAATTCATTGAATGCTAAAAAAATATAAGATGTCGAAGAAATGTGTAGGTATGTTTTAAATATATTTACTTACTGTGACATCATTCCAACGATAAAAGACACAGCATTGAAATAGGCCTAAATATTCAATTAAAAGTTTTTCATCTTCAATTTTATTTACATGTATTAACAGTATGTGTAGTCTTAATATAAATTAGGCTTTATCACGTTCAAAATTTACCAAGATCGACGGGACTGCACTTAGGGCAGATATACTGAGGCACTGTCTTAGCATAATCCTCACTAATCCCCGCACACCCAGGTTGGAACCAGTCCTGGCAGTTGTCGCACTGCAACATCATCCCCTTTTGATTAGACTGCAAACAAACACAATATTTTCTGGTTTTAGCTCCCTTAGTGGCTCTAGGTCGTTTGGGCGACATGGGCTGTATGGACTGATCTAGTCTTTCCCTAACCCGTTTACGAGTTCCCATATACGTACCTGCTGATTCTGCTGGCTTGGGGCTATCTTTCGAGTGACCCCCACCCCCCGGGCTCTCAGGACTTATTCCCGATTCCGCGGTCCCTAGCGGTGCCACCACGTCATGTATAAGAGAACTATCCCCATCTCGGTCTACTGACTGTCCAGGCAACTTATTCTGGTAGTTGACTAACCATTTAGGGAGTTGCCTGGCCTCGCACTTCTTAAGCTTGTCATGGTGCACAACCTTGACCTCGCGCCGAGATTTGACTACAAATATTGTGTCTGACTTGGCTTCAATTATGACCCCAGGACCCCTCCAAACTGACCTTACCTTTTTTCCCTCATTGCAGCGCCAGTATACCAAATCTCCGACCTTGAACTTGCTGCTACGGACCTGAATGTTATGCGACCTTTTCATTGCCTTCTGCGCGACTTTTAGTTTCTTGCGGGCAATGTCGTGCCCGCCTAGAACATTCTTTTCGAGGTCCCGTACGTATCTGTCCACCTCACCCTCACCTGACACCGCATCGAGTACTTGTACTGACTCATCAAAACTCGGAGCAAATGCAGTGTCATTGCCCTTGACCCTTAAAGTACCGGCTTCACATGAAATTTCTACACCATGCTTTCGTAGGAAATCGTTTCCCAAGAGCATCTCATCTTCCAGAGGACCAACATAGATCGGGTGTTCGAAATCATAATCCCCGATGCGTAAGTTAAGACTACCGAGGTACTGAGCGGTCATACCAGCTCCCTCACCAACTAGCCGTACATTAGTATCGCCTACAACTTCGGGCTGCCGCCTCAAGGACTTGTAAACTTCGCTCGATATTATCGTTATGTCGGCTGCTGTGTCAATTGTTGCTCTCACTTGTTGGCCTCCTACTCTTATCGGAATACGTGGCCGCCCCTGAAGCGATGGTTTGACTACCGGATCAACAGACGGAATTACATGGGTCGCGTTTACATTCGGTTCATAGAACTTGACTTTGGTCTCACGGTCTTACGGACTATGTTTGTCTTTAGTTTTGTTACTGGTCAACTTAAGACAAGGCTTAGGGATCCCCGATCTACGCCTACGCTGGCGGACCCGGCAGTCGCGACGCAAGTGCCCTGGCTCTAGGAATTCGAAACATAGGTCCCCTAATTGATGACGGATCCCTCGAGGACCCTCGCTCGGGACTAGATCCTCGAGTGCTGTTCTCCGAGTCGCTGGAATAGTATGTTCTATACGAGCCCCGATTCGGCGACTCGGAACGGTCCATGCTGGCACGTCAAACCTTTTGTCATAACTTATCGACAGTCTCAGAGGGAAACTCCATACGACCCAAAGGTCCCTCGGATCAGGTCCGTCTCTACGTGCGACGCAAAATCGGTCCCTTGACTTTGGGCGCCCCCTGCGTGCGACTCAAAGATCTTGAGACCCAGAATCTCATCTGGCACGATAATGGCCCGGATTGGGCGACTGACTCCGGTCATTTTGACGCTCTCTACATAGGGATCTTACCGCTCTCGGCCGGCAGGCTAAAGCTCTGCGACTTAGTTGACAAGTTTTGACTCGCTTAATCGCTTCTTCTATAGTCCCCGGGGGATTATTCATTAACTGCTGCCCCGCCTCGCCTCATTACATCTCTTGGAAAACTTCTGGCGAAGTTCCACTACCAAACGCTTTCTGGGCAGTGACCATTACTCGGTCCCCCATTGCTCTATAGCTTCGTCCGCTCGCTGGCAGATAGAATTAAATTCCAGCTGTGAGGCGGCTTTAAGGGAAGTTTTACCGAATCTCTCCTCTATCCGGCGAACGACTTCTCGGAAACTTAACAGCGCGCCTCGTCGTCTGAGGATACCAAAGTACTTAAGAGCTGCCCCCTCTAGCTTAAGACTTAGGGCAAACAGAGAGTCAGGATCGCTCCACTAATGATATTCGGCGATAGTGGAGAACTTGGCATAGAACGGACCCCATTCAACATCCCCGTTATATCTCAACCCTTTGACCTCAGCCGGAATATTCTTACTCACACAGCTACGGATTCCAGCAGGAAGTAAACATGGCAATTGACTCTTGTTCGTGGTGGTCATTAGCGAATGACCCTGTATGGCACCAGGCAGATGAGTAAATTGAATGGGAAAAGAGAAGTAACACCCCCATGACTAGGAACGAGCGACGGACTACCCCCTAATGTAGCTGACTGCCCAACCAACCCACCAAAGTGGCCAGCGCCCCTGACCCCTCCAGTTAGCAACACTAGGATGCGCGGACGCTAAGGGCACGGTCGCGGAAGTACCCACTCGGGTGTACCATTCAACATGACCCGCGACCGTTGGGTCCGTGCTGGGAAGCACTTGGTAATCCCCCCCCCCCCCTAGGCTAATCTGTCATTGCCAAACGATGATAAGGAATTATCTTCAGACATGTTTACACTGTGTCCCCCCACCGAAACAGACATAAACTCTCCGCCAGGTGCGGTCA